TCAGTTGATCAGAAAAACCGGGGCTATCGAACGAGCTGGTTAGAAACATACGCTTTGAAAAAACATGAGGATCATTTGAACTAGTCACTCAATTAAATATTGAGTTGGCAAGTATTCCTTTCAACTAGTACGTAACCTATGGCCCTCGCGTGCCGTCTTGCGCCATCATATCTTTCAACGGCCGAATTGGAGCAAAGAGTTTGAATTTGTTTCGGTTAAAGAGTACCGCCTCCCTATTCGAGTTTGTGTTCTTGTACTTCACCGAAACCTCATTCAAGGTCGCTCATTGGAAGGATCTACCGTACATATTTAGAGTACATGTACTTGTGCATAATCTACAAAAAGGACCCTTAGTGAAACTGAGTGAGATACGGTACATAAAGTACGGTACGAAGATCCTTCTGCTGTTTCGCCCTTATTAACGAGCATAGCTCATTGGAAGCGCTTTTAGTCCATATGCAAAACACCTTGAAGCTACCTATCGGACGATCCTATGCTTGATCAGATTTCCTTTTTCAGTCGGTCCTACATGTGTTTGGGCAGATTCTTAAAACGGCTGACCGTTTTGGAGCGTTTATCAAATGTGGGCGGATAAAACATTCCTGAATGTTTTATTAATTCGAGGCTTCTTATTTTTCTTTTACGTGTGTTGAAGCTAGATATTCTACATACACTTGATGTTGCTAATTCCGCCTAGCTACCCCACACCCTTCGGCCAATGATATGCTGACAGCCCAGCCGCAACAACCACCCCACTACAACTGCACGTACCACCATGGAGGGACGGACACGTCCAATTTTCTGAACTTGCTATGTAGCTAGTGTCGTTCCGTTCCGTCTTTTTTCACACCGGCCGTTGATCATGAAAGTCCATTCTTTGCATGGGATAAGGCAAGGGCAGTTTGGGACCAAACTTTTTCGGTACGATATGATCTGATAGGTGATTTCTATAAACTTCCCCACTTTCCCTCTATAGAACCAGTGAACTATTTTTCTACAGAACCCCTCTTCCCTCTGTCCGCGGGGTCTTGGTTCTTTTTGTTTTGCACTGTATGAATTTGAAACTCAACTAGAAAAAAGGCGTCCCCAACAAAATCGTCTTTCGTTTCGAATCATTCACTATTCCAAACTCTCAACACTTCAAAAGGTGCCATCTATCCATACGATAAAAACTTCATCCACACGCTCAAATAAACAGTTAATATGAACCCGCGAGTACTCCTCCGCTCTTCACAGCATCCTTCTTCAGCAACTGGAGCTCTTCCATCCCAACCAACTCGACAAATATTACGGTCTTCAGTATCGCAGTCATTAGTGCATCGATTACTGCAAAGTGGGTCTGGAGGTCGTGGTGGGACTAGTCCGAGTGCACAGTTTCAGAACTCGTTTTTATTTGCAAGTGCTGGTGGATCAAAGGCGAGAGGAAAGATAAATCACTCGAGCGCACTGAAAAAAAGAGCTGGAGAAAAGAAGGATGTTGAATGTAGGGTTAAAGATAAAGATGGGGCGGATGGAGGTAGTGGGAAGGTGGTGAAAATGGATGAAAAGAAAGAAGAGAAATCAGCATCAATATCAGTGGAAACCCCTGAAAAAGAACAGTTGCCGCTATATCCTCAAAAGACCCTAAGCATTAATGTTAAAGGTACTTCCACCCTGCTTGTTTGCGTCTAGCTCTCTACTAACTGTCATCTCAGGAGAACTCATTGCCGCACCTCTCATCACGCTGAAGCTCCCCGTTCACAATAATGAATACGTTGTTCTGCTAGTCAACCCCAAGAATACCTTATCAGCTCTTTCGAAACTCATCCAAGCCGAGCTACCACCCCTCGCATCCGACCCATCTAAGGCACCAAGAGTTACATTCAAAGCACCTGAACATAGTAGTATTGGTCCTATTGGACGTGGATCTACCCGATGGGGCTCATCTATTGAAGTTGGAAATTTCGTAAAAGATGCAGCAAGGGAAAAAGAGTTTATAATAGAAATTGAAGACGCGGAGAATATAGTTATCTCTGTCCCTTCGTTTCTGGAACGCAGTCAGACCACTAGGGATCAGTTGAGAAAAACGACTAAGGAGATCGAGATTATGGGAAGGCTACGAGAGCAGTGCGATAATGCTTTGAGAAATAGAGTGAATATGGCGATAGCTGGGATGGTGGGGTGTTTGGTGGGCGTTTATTCTCTTATGCTTAACAGTGGCTTCTTGGTGTGTTTTCCTGGTTTTAATTTTGGTTATGGGATGGTGCTAACACCAGGACAGTGGAGTGTGGCCCCGAATGTGATATTCGCTGCTCTTTGGACGACGGTAGCTTCATGGCTATATTTTGGAACGTTCGGACCAACCACGAGCGAGAACCGACAGCGGAAGTTATATGAAAGCCGCGGATTCAATCAAGAACAATGGGCTAGGCTCTTGGATGTGGGTAGGGTGCTGAGGAAGGAGGTGTTAGACATTGCAGAGCAGTACGGCGAAAAATGGGACGAAAAGAGGGATTTTATCATGAGCTGATGGGAGATCGGTTATGTGATGCGTGTATGGCAGGGGGAATAGGCACTGTGGGAAAACGAAAAGAGAGGATACGACTTTGTTTAAAATTCTGGCTGTTAAGGATGGGGCGTACATATGTTTTCTTTTTTTTTTTTTATGGTGTTTGTAGCGGTGCAAGGGCTTTCATTTGCATTTTTGGTTCGGAAATCGGATGCATGTTGGATGGATCATTGGGCTCACGGGATATTTCCTTGGTCTTGGGTTATTTTCTTTTGGACCTTTACATGATATAAGGATTCCGGTCTTTATTTATGTGATTATAAGAAAATATATGAATATAAGCAGTGTTCACTTTCCGTGGCTTTGCACTATATAACTTGGAGGTCTAATTAATCTGTCATTGATAATCCTAGCGGAGGATTTCATTACCGAATCACCCAGTTGACGAGACAGGGTTCTATGGGTCATTATTTCGTACTAGTCATAGCATTTATCATACGTCTCTTTAGTTTATACATCTGTTCCACAACTTAGTATAAATGCGGGGTCTAATCCCCCTTAGCTATCAACAATCAACACGATCAATTACTACAATTTCTTACATGAGCACGTGGATTAACAACTACACAAACAACACTTTATCATCATTTCCACATTTGCAAACTCATCGAATGCTAGCTTGTAAATAGTAAAGTGTACTTGATAGTTGTGTGTGGTTTAGAGTGAGAATCGTTGTTTGTGTAGTTGTTGGTCCCCGGGCTCATAACCTAGAGAGATATATAAAGAGAAATTGCAGTAATTGATTGTGTATGTAGCTTCCATTACAGACTTTTAGAGGGTTCGAACGTCGTCAATGATATATCGATATGCGGGAACATAGATTTAGTCCGGAGCCAACGAATCCTGTAATAGCTACATGTAGCTATACATAGAGGTAGATATCATTTCCTAGGCTTGGTATGGTAATAAGGTATGGTTTTGCAAGACGTTTACAGACTTTTATTAATTCATATAGATGCATCATATGAAGTGAATCTCAACGCGTCTTTACTTAAACCGGGTACAGTCTCAGACTAATATAATATAAGACAGTGGCATTCGAATATTCCGATATGAATAGGGATTTCTACCAGCCAAGTTATCTTCACCACTCCCGAGATCTAGATATTTGTCATAAGATATTAGAAAAATCTATCCCCCCGTAAAGAGATCCTCACCTGAACATTATCCAGGTGATACGATTCTACTAATATTATCTAATACGCTACTCCGCCTAACCGGGCTAGACACCCAACAGTTATCCTTGGCGCCTTTGGTAGTCTTGGCATCGTGCCAAGTAACATTGCCAGATAAGAGCACACATGGGCGAGTGGTCTAATGGCTAACACTCGCCCCCCCGGAACACCGAGAGGTTGTGCCTGGCCTTTGAACGTCTATAGAAGGTCCACGGTTCAATCCAGGGGTGGGAGTAGTAGATTTCGGTCCGGCGAAATCTGCAGTACTTTTTGTTCTTATTTTTTTGCCTTTTTTTATTTATGGTTGATACGGAAAAACTGTATTTTTCGTGTCTATTATACAGACAAAATACACCGGTGATCAGTGCTGGTAGTATCAATTTGATCAACGGTTGGAGCAAAAATGGTAAAAGTCAAGTAGGTAATTTACGTTTTATGTCGATCACGATGTATTTATTACTACTCTACTCAAGGGTCCTTTCCGTAACTTGGCTCTACATTCTAGAGCGTGTGTTAGTGCTCTCAATCCTACTGTTCCATGCAATATATATCGTATGCAGTTATCTGACTTCAGTAGTGAGGGCGCGGTGTGTAATTAGAGTCAGGGTTACCGAATTAAAACTTTTGTTTTCCATGCAGGAAAGTTATGATTTCCATTAGACATTTACCTTTCCTCTTACATCCGGAGCATCGTTATTTTCGATCGGTTGACCGATTAATGTAACCCACTCTTAAACTACCAGTGCTAGTTGATCATTCTTAAACTTCCAATACCGGCCGGCCTCACTAACTCTAGATCTCCATACGGACATCAGCCCCAGCCCCACAGAACCAGTGCATGCAGCCAGCCACGCAAGCACTAAAACTCGGCCCCTTACTAAAACCTCAGGAACGCACCTAATTTCAATTTCCTCCAACCAACTACACCGATTCCGTGAGATCATGCCCGATCACTCGGTGCCAATGGTTACCCGGAAATGGCGGCTGTTTAAGCGCGGACAATTGCAACAGATCTGCAGACGGGATCTTGGGATGGTTTATAATATAAGGTGTTGGTGATTTTGGGATTGGTGCTTCAATTGGTGTCGTTGTTTGGCCGAAGTACTCTGCGCTGGGGGTGGGGCACCGAGTAATATTGTGCCTGTTATATATATGCTGCTGAGTTAGCTAGGCTCGAGGCTTTAGTTTCTGGGATATATGTATACTTCGAATCCTCCACGACACTCCCGACCCCACAAACCTCCACCTCCACCCCCGCCAAATTCCAACCAGCAACAATGTCCCCCTCACGAGGCCCCCTCCTCCGCCTCCTTCACCGCCCCCCCACCCGCACCCTCAGCACCCTCAGCACCCTCAGCACCCTCCGCACCCTCCTCCCCACCACCACCCGCCTCCAAATCTACCTCTCCACCTCCACCACCCCCGCCACAAACCTCTCCCTGGAACACCACCTCCTCACCGCCTCCCACCCCTCCACCACAGCCCTCCTCCTCTACACAAACACCCCCTCCATCATCCTCGGCCGCAACCAGAACCCCTGGCTCGAGGCAAACCTGCCCCTCCTGGGCTCCTCCTCCAATTCCCACTCCAACACCGAGAGCGCACCAACCCTCCTCCGCCGCCGCTCCGGCGGCGGCACGGTCTTCCACGACCTCGGGAACGTCAATTACTCCGTCACCATGCCGACCGCCACGTTCGACCGCGACCGCCACGCGCGCGTCGTGGTGCGCGCGCTGCGGCGGCTGGGCGCCGCAGAGGCGGTGGTTAATAAACGGCACGACATAGTACTGCTTCCTGCGGGGGCGGGTGTGGCGGAGGAGAAGCTGGGCGGGGAGGCGCCGGACGGGACAAGGAAGGTGAGTGGGAGTGCGTATAAGCTGACACGGCAGCGGAGCTACCACCATGGGACGATGCTGCTGAGCGCGGCGCTGGGGGAGGTGGGGGTGTGGTTGAGGGGTGTTGCGGGCGGGTGGATGGCGGGCAGGGGGGTGGGGAGTGTTAGGAGTCCTGTGGCGAATGTGGGCGTGGGGAGGGAGGCGTTTGTGAGGGGTGTGGTGGAGGAGATGGGGAGGGAGTATCTTGGGGAGCGGGGGGCGGAGATGGTGGGGAGGGCGATGGAGGATGGGGAGGAGGGGGAGGGTGAGGAGGTGGGCGTGTGTTATGTTAGTGAGGAGGAGGCGTTGGCGGTGCCCGAGATCAGGAAGGGCGCGGAGGAGCTGAAGGTATGTCTTGTCTTTTTCGTCCATTGTGTGAGGTGCTAACTGTGGAATAGTCAGTGCAGTGGACATACGGCCAGACACCGCAGCTCACGTTCTCTGTGCCGCCGCCAGACGGGGCCGCAGAGTTGCTCGAGGGCGCTCCGCTGCCGCCGGAGGGCGTGCGGTTCAGCATCACGGCGAACAAAGGTGTGGTGGAGAAGGTCGAGTCGGAGCTGGAGTGCATGCAGGGCTTGGTGGGGCTTCGATTTGACGGCGGCGTGATCAACGATCACATCAGTACGTTCGGGGATGCACCGGAGGGCCTGGGTGAGTGGATTGAGGGCGTGCTGGGGAGGACGGAGTGGGGGGAGAGTGCGGAGTAGATGGGTGTACTAGATGGTTAAGTGGAGATACGGTCATTGACACCCGCAGTAGTAGATAGTATTTAGAAAGCGGTGGCTAATCATTGACCGTCCTGCAACCAACCAAACGTAGTAATAGCAAGAATTAGAGAAAGGAAAGAAAGAAAAAAAAGGGTAGATTTATTTTATCGAATGAAGACTATAAAGAAGAACTTTTTAGTTCTGAGTTACTTGTAACTCTATACCCATAACCTCTATTTCGGTTATGTCTTTGTCGATGGGAATCCATCCTGACGAGGCATTTCAAAGCCGAAACAAAGAGTCTAACTAGAGTAGACAGACTCTCCGAGCACTATGTGTTATTACCAAATATATAGATGTCTCAAGGCCTTCTAGCCTTAGAGAATAGCGAGGGAGATAGTCTACTGAACTGACATCGATGATGTTACACTCTTTGGGATTGCAGTTCTGAGTTACTTGTAACTCTATACGAATATCCTTTATTTCGGTTATGTCTTATATCAAGATGTGACAACCACTTTGTCGATGGGAACCCATCCTGATGGGGCATTTCAAAGCCGAAACAAAGAGTCTAACTAGAGCTGTAGACAGGACTCTCCGAGCACTATGTGTTTTTACTAAACTTTTTGAACAATTAACGCCTTCTCTAACTATGTATATCTTACAGTTCCTCCTGGGCCTGAGCCTGTATCCTCTTGATCGCCTTCTGCAGCCCCTTGTGGCCCTTAAACTTCAGCAGCCCCCTCTCCGCAACCTCCACCGCAGCGGCCTTCTTCCCCCTCATCTTCATAGTCTCCACCCAGAGCCCATACAGCTCCGCCGAGGCCTCATCCGCCGCCTCCGCCGCCTTAAAGTACTTCATAAGCGTACCAACCATGACAGTCCTCACGCCCTCGTCGGCCCCCTCCTCCTCCAGCGCACTCCTCAGCAGCCCCATCATGAACGTCGCAAACTTCTCATACAGCGCCCCCCTAGGCACCGCCTTCCCCACCGCCTCCCGCATATTATCCAGCACCGTCCCCAAGCGCGCAGGAAACATCGGATTCGCAACAGACACGCCCACAACCGGCAGCTGCACCCCCAGCATCAACATCTCGGCGTCTGTCGGCGCCGCATCAAGCACATGCACCACCACGCGCTGCAGCAGCGCCCCGCGACAATGCAGCGTCTCGAACCCCATCACCAGGTCCCAGAAGCCCCTCACGAACGCCATGTCGCCCGGGAACTCCTTCACCGCCGCATCAAAGATCGCGCCGACGACGGCGCCGTTGAGCGCCGGGTTCGTCGTGATGTCCTCCAGCGCCGCCGCATCAACAAGATGGTCCTTCCGCGGCTTGCCGCTCAACTCGTCCGCGCTCACAGTCGGCAGCTTGATCTCGTCGTCGTCGTCGAGGTCCATCGCCGCTTCTGCCTCCGCCTGCTGCTCCTCTTCAGATGGTGGTGGCGGCGCCCCATCAATCCCCAGCATCCTCCGCCGCGCAAGCACCTTCGCCACAAACACCAACTCCAGCTTCGCATACTCCCACCACAGCTCCCTACTCCCCTTACAGAACCTCAGCCCACGCTGCATATGGCCCCTCGCCTCCGTGACATCCGCATTCACCTCGACGGCGTGTCTTGCCGCATAGATCCACAGCTCGGGCTTCGCCGGGTGCAGCTTCAGCACGCTCGCAAACACCTTGGCCAGCACCTTGCTGGACCGCTCCTTGCGCGCGTACGCGATGTACTGCATCCACAGGCCCAGGTCGCCGGGGAAGCGCCGCGTGGCCCGGTCGAGCAGGAAGAAGATGCGGCGCTGCCCGGCGTGGGAGCGCGAATTGACGCCGAGGCGGGTTTGGCGCTTGCGGCGCAGGGAGTCGAGGTTCATTTCGTATTCGGCGTAGCGGGTGAAGTCGGTGGGCTTGGGGGCGGGGGAGTTGACGCGGTGCTCGAACTCGGAGCGCTTCTTGGTGATTGCTGAGATCTCTTCCTGAAGAGTTAGAGTTAGAGACTGTGCTGGTGAGGGTGCAATTGGGGGGGGGGGGGGCAGAGAGGGAGGTACTTTTGTGAAGATCTTCTTCTTTTCGAGGTCCTGCAGTTCGGGGATGGACTGCTCCAGGTAGAAGCGGGATTTGTCGGCCATCGTTGCAGACTGTGGATGTGGAGGGTTTGGGTGGAGAGCTGTGGTGGAGGTGTTGATGGTTGCAGGTTTTAGCTGAGGCTCTGGAATCTTTTTTTTTTTTTCTTTCTCCAATATGCACGCCAGCAGCGCTTGCACAAACAGGGCTAGGCTCACTGGCAGGCTTATCTTATCAGAAAACCTAACCCATGTGATGTGCTCGGTGTGGGGGGCGATAAGCATGATCGGTCAGCAAGGATGATGCATCAAGCATGGTGTCTCACTCGGCTCTGTCTCTACGTCATCACTAGTACTCTCAAAGCGTTAGAGTGATAATTCCTGAAGCTGCTCCATCAACTACATGTACATGTAGATACAACGTCCTCTTGGTTCACAGAAACCAATCTCTATAGACCCCTCCCCATTGCACAATAGCTTAGCTCTTACAATACCAACACACACACACACACACGCACTGAGCACTGACCTCCATCTACTTCCCGGCCCTTGTGCCCGGACAGCATATGGAAAGAGCTGCAGTACGTACACTTCTCTACCCGCAAAGTCTAAATACCACTAGCCCTCAGCATCTCTAGCAAATTCGTGTGCTGATGGGTACCACTTGATCACATCCAGTGTAGCTCCATATCAAACGAGTTCCCCCAATCGAGCCGGTCCACCATGTTACAAGATATGTGACGGCAGAGGGTATATGAGCGCACAACTTGCCGTTTAAACAGCCCCGAAACCGTTCTCCCCTTCTGCCCCACTTTTCCCACGTGCTCTCACTTCTCAATTGCCCCCTCATCGCAATTCCGCTGCCTCTCTCCAAGAAGGTTATCGTGCTTAATCAAAGGTCAATCGTGAGTGCTGTTTCGTGATTCTCTGGCCTTTCGAAGAAGAATTTCAGACTAACTGGGGTGGATAGAACATGTCTTCTCGCCTTCTTCGCCCCAGAGTGGCGCCTATCTCCTATAAATATCCTCCTGTTTTTCAGAGAAATTCGAATCTGTTGGCGGCTCAAATAAGGAATGTTCAGCTCTCCTCCGTAGGTTTTCACTCCTCCTGTTTCATTCGATCGATGAATCCTGTTACCTTATGAAGTCTTTCGCTTGACGGGCTTGACGGGCTTTTACCCGATGAAATTACCCCCGATAGATCTACTCCACTTCTCTCTCATTTTATCTTGTAGAATCCTTTGGGGAGACCATCTTCTCCATCAATTCTCCCCCTTGCGGAATCCCTTTCCTTACGAATCCCTTCCTTGCGGAACGATCCTTTCTTGAATCAGCACCGGAGGAATTATTTCCCCGACTAGCCCTCCTCCTCCTCAATAAGCCGTTTTCCCCAATGCATCCCTTTCCTTGGTGATTTTCCATCAAAAGTCTTACTAAAGCAGTATGCAATGATAAAATCCACTAACACCGCTCGTTATTATAGAGAGACGATAAACTTACTTCTCCCACTATTCCGGACCACACGACGACATCCATTGATGATTTTATATCTCCTGAGCTTTCTGGGGTCTCCGAGACCGAGGATCTCGTATCTTCTGCAAAAGAAGCTCCTCCCCCCAAAAAAGCTAAATTGGCGAGGGGAAAGAAGACACCTACAAAGAGAGTCAAAAAGGTCAAAGTTGACGACGATGATGGTGTTGACGGTAGCACTCTGAAACAAAAGTCTCCAAAGAAATTGCAAAAGAAGCCAAAGGCGCTCAAGTTCCCCTCCGGCGAGACTCTTTATCCCGATCTCATCAATCCTACCCCCCAAGAATGTTACAATGTGGCTGCTTTGTTGACTGCCGCTCATGGTCCGGCTAACCAGCCGGATGAGGTCCCGGAACCTGATAATGAGGTTTCGGGATGCGGCGAGGTTCCGTCCGTTCTTGACGCTCTCATCAGGACTTTGTTGTCTGCCAACACCACTAATCTCAATTCCTCGAGGGCTTTCAAAGGTCTCATTGATAGATTTGGGTTGGTGACCGATGATCCCGTCGTGATTTCTGATGATGCCAAAATATCCGAGCATGAAGCCAGTCAGCAGATCATTGCAAAGGCTAAGAAAATCGGTGTTGGTAGTGTCGATTGGGACAAAGTCCGCCTGGCAAGCTTCGAGGATCTCCGGGATTCAATCAAGCAAGGAGGTCTTGCAAACATTAAGGCTAAGCACATCAAGGATGTTCTAGATGATGTCTATGCAGCTAGTCTGGTTAAGATCCGAGCTGACCTCAAATCCCAAGGTATCGAAGTCGGTAAAGACGAAAAGCTTGAGGGTAACATCTCGCTCGAGCATTTGAAGGACTGTAGTGATGATGAAGCCATGAATACACTTATGGCTTTCAACGGAGTTGGAGTAAAGACTGCGGCCTGCGTTTGTTTGTTCTGTATGTGTCCACCTTCCTCGTAGCCCCACAAAACAATTTCTAACATACCTTGTATAGGCTTACGCAGATCAAAGTTCCCCGTCGATACCCATGTTTGGCGCATCTCAAAGTTTCTCGGGTGGATCCCCAACAGTGCTGGCCGCGAAGAGGCCTACTATCACCTCGATGCTCGTATCCCAGACAACCTCAAATACTCACTACATAACCTTCTCATTCGACACGGCCGCATGTGTGCCCACTGCAAGGCTGGCCCTGAGAAGGCCCCCGCTAAAATCCCCGCCAACCCCGCCATTAAGCGTACCAAAAAGAACAAGCCTGAGCCTATCAATACTGATACCGAAAACACGGAGACTGAAGTCGTCAAGCCGAAGATGCGCACTAAGAAAGTTTGGATTGGAACTGGAATGATGAAGGAGGTCATCGTCGAGGTTCCCATCACTGGTGTTGAGGGTGAAGAGGGCGGCGAGGACCAAGAGCTTGAATCTTGTGTCTTGGAGGATTTGCTCAACCGTGTTCGTAAGCCCAGAGTTCGTGTAGTCAAAACTGAGATTGATGCCGTGGATGAGGTCAATCCCGTGAACGAGGTTGATACCGGTAACGAAGTTGATTCCGGGGTTGATGCCGAGGATGAGGTTGATGCCGAGCATGAGGTTGATGCCGAGCATGAGATTGATGCCGAGCATGAGATTGAGGGTGAGGGTGAGGGTGAGGGTGAGGACGTAAAGATGGAGGAATAGGTTTGGGTGGTGGTGGTGATGGAAACTTTCTTCTTATGTGCTACCATAAGCCCATGTAGCTACTACTATTTTTTCTTCTTGTCTATACTGCCATTTATGTGGTCGACATGTTGCGGGGGATTGAGGTTCTTTAGGGAAAATGTAGCTTTTCAATTTGCTGCGAGACTAGAATTAGCTGCATAGCTGTGTAGAGATCTAAAAAGATGGATACTCTACCTTGATGATATGTGGTTTTTTGCCTTGCGTGAGTGATAGATCTTGATGGAATAGGCTGATATGTAGAAGCTTCGAGACATGATGTGAATACGATCTCATACATGTTCCCAGGTTGGTCTATGGAGTAAAGGTGGCTCAAGCCAAAGGGCAAGGAAAGACACCCTGTTCACTAAACAAACACACCAAAGCCCTGCCTTGATTCCTAGGTTGCCGCAGTAACAGCTATAACCATTTAATTCCAAGGTACTAAATTTCCTGAAATTCAACCACTAGCCCCGTTTCCAGGTAGACTAGACCACAACCATCTCCTGCTGGTTATTGTGCTCAGAGAGAGTCACACGCAGGATCGACCCCTTATGGGAACGAGACTACATGGACTCCTGGTTTCCACGCACACATACACACACATGGATCATCACGAGTAGGGTGAAGCATTTACATGGATTATCACTCGCGCCGCAAAATAACTTCACATACAAGCAGTGTTCTTATTCTCCGTCTCCGGGAACATATACGTACCTTATACGGTCTTCAACAGAGGGTAAATCGAGATATGTAGAGAAAGAACTGCTCCCGATTCCAGAAGAGAGCCAGCGTAATAATTCGTAGTAAAGAACGCGTGGTCCTTTCGGCGAATCCCGCCATACTAGTATGCAGAGGAGACAGGAGGCACATTGTAAATACACTAGAGGTTAGGGCAGGCGAGGGATAATCTACCCCGCACAGATCACAAACAAGCCCCGGTAGTGTAGTGGTTAACACGCCTAGAAACTCAGCAAGTAGGAGAAAGAGCTGTGAGGGAAGCTTAGGTTCGAATCCTAACTGGGGCGTCACATCATTCTTTTGCTTTTGCTTTACTTCAATTACCTCCCACCGTGGCTAGCGCTGGCGCTAGTTACATATAGTCCTTAGTAACATCAGTGTGTACGTATGCTCAAGAGAAGCCAAGCGGTAAACGTGAAAAAATGTATGGTACAAGCCGTGACTTCTATCTAGCTAGACTTGAGGGGGCTCCTCACGGCAAGTTACATGTATGTTATCTTGCAACTGCTAGATACGCAATAGATCTAGAGCGAGAACATGGCCCGCCTCTATACCACAACCAACACCGGAAAAACCACTTATAATCGCATCATGGGTTACAATTACACTACTTTCACTTTCCTAGCTTTGAGGGGGCTTTCCTCTCTTGTCAAACGGTCCTAATCAAGAATAAGACCAATCGAGTGATCATCCATGATCCAAACTGAAAGCAGCCATGAGCATGTCAACATTGTTGTTAGTAGTACTAAATACTTGGATTATTGGCGTGATTGAACGGAATTTACTAATCCGGCTCTATGGTCGTAGACGAAGCTCTAGGTGTGTAGAAGTGCGCACACTAGTCCGTCGAACAGCCTAGGATTTTCGTCACGAAGTAGTATTCTTGGGGGAAAAAGAGTCGTTTGGTTCGAATTGAAACCCAGAAATTTGACACCTAGGTCCGGATCTTCTAAATTCTCTTTATAGCGATACTTAACGTCCCTATCTTTAGGTTGTTAGTATTCAAAAAGCTCTCGGTATCGGTCTCGTTTTTTAATGGCAAAATATTGGAAAGATCTTGTGAACGGGGTTATAGAGAGGATTGTAATTGCCGAATCCAACGCGAGATTGCAAGCAGCATTTCACATGAAGTTTACGGTAGAAGAAATTTCAAAACAAAAGAGCATTTACGCGCTAGCTACAAGACCAGGGTTACAATAATATTATATACAGTTAAACAAAGAAGACAATGGCTCCTCTAAACCTATTCCGCAACGATGACACTCGCCATTCCCATTCCCGTTCCAATACACATGCTGGTAACTCCAATCTTTCCGCCTGTTCTCTTCAACTCCGTTAATAGGGTGCTAACCTGTCTAGCACCAGTACACCCAAGCGGATGTCCGAAAGCGATAGCACCTCCCTTAGGGTTAATCTTCTTCGGATCCAAACCGAGCTCGTTCGCACACCACAAGCACTGACTCGCGAACGCCTCATTAATCTCGAAGATGTCGACATCATCCTTCGTAATCCCTGTTTTCGCAAACACCTTCGGGATGGCGGCCCATGGCCCAATTCCCATCAACAGTGGCTCAACACCAGCAATAGAAGCAGCAACGAATTTTCCGATAATCTTCTGTCCAAGCTTCTCGGCCGTCGACCTACGCATCAGAAGGACTGCAGCAGCGCCGTCAGTGATTTGCGAGGCGTTTCCGGCATGAATGGACCCATCCTTAGCGAACGCGGGGCGGATCTTGGAAAGACCTTCAGCGGTCATACCAGGGCGGATTCCGTCATCGCGGGAGACGGTGATGCGCTTGACTTCGTTGGTCTTGGGGTCCTCGAAGTTGACTTCAAGAGGGTAAATCTCCTCATCAAAGAGACCGGCCTTTTGGGCAGCTTCGGCTTTCTGGAAAGACTGGGCGGCAAATGCGTCTTGTGCTGTGCGTGGGATTTTACGGTCCTTAGCCATTTGTTCAGAGAGAACTCCCATGGGAACCTTGCAGTTCTTGGCTTCTGGGTGAGATTCGAGGAGCTCAGAGAACTCAGTCACAGCGCCAGGGCTATTAAATGATTGTCAGTTAATGTTCCACAAAGCTACATGGGAGGGCAGGGAGCAAATACCCATATTGGGTGCTCATAGACTCAACACCTGCACCAACTCCAATATCGATCATCCCCGACTTGATCGCGTTAACCACATTCACGACCGCCTGTAGTCCACTCGCACACTGTCTGTTCAATCCATACACAGCGGTCTGTACGGGAAACCCCGCCACCAAGCTGGCACCACGAAACTCAGTCGCGCCACCACCAGGTGCGAGAACAGATCCAACATGGATGTCCTCGACGAGGTTCGGATCGATTCCTGAGCGTTCAATCAAGCCCTTGAGGACTCCTGCAAGGAGGTCTTGAGCTGGCGTGTCTTTGAAGGATCCTTTCCCTCCTTTGCACAGGGCAGTTCGTAGTGCGCAGGTTATTACAACGTCATTGGCGTGCTTCTCTGTCAAGCGGTCGCGGGGAGAGGCGGTGCTTGGGAGAATCTGATTGGTGATCTGGGTTAGACGAGCTGTGGCTTCTTGCTATTAGCTCTGGAGTGCATCTTGGGTAGAAGCACATGTGATATATACCTGACATGGTTGGATTATGAATCTAAGGTTTCGTGGGAGAGCTGTTACGGAGGTTCTTTCGGGGGGGGCTTCGTATGTGGATCTTTGAGCAGGAGAGAGATGTGAGATAGAGTGGAGGAAGAAGAGCGGAAGAGGGGAGGAATGAGTTAAAATAAGAACGAGTGGTGGTCTGGGAGTGTCCTTAATTCGCATGTGATGTCAACGGGCTGAAGCCAGCTCGCCAAGGTCCTTGCGCGCATGTGAAGATGTTTAATTCTCGTGATCCCGTGATCATGAACGTGAGCCTCGGCTCAAACCGGTGGCCGAGGCCCCGAAACGGAGTAAGCCGATAATCATGATACTGGATTCCAGTGCGTGTTTCCGAGCAGCTGATCATTGCCTTATAGTTCCAGGGTTAGGGCTGACGATTGAGTTTATTCATCAGCTATCACTCGGATTGGGGGGAACAAAATAAAAATAAAATCGTTGTCGCTCCTATTATTCTAGATCTGGCTATAGCTACTAGTTAGGGGAGCAATAAGAAAACTATCTTTTGTCTGTACTAAAAATAATACTAAACCTAGTATTTTTATCGGAGGACTGAAATCCTATTTAATCTAGATAACAAATGCTGTCTATCCCCTGCGGGTAGCTCGTTGCTCACTGTGCAAATTTCTGGTCTTTGTGATTAGTGGTGTGATGTTTGATGTTACCCATTTACCTTGGGGTTGGGAACATCACAAATACCTAGTTGATAGTTTTCGAGAGACCCAAATTGACAGGAAAAACATGCTTGTAATTGTTCTACGATCGAGTGTATATATCGGACTGTGCGCGCGTAGCATCACTGCATATGTATATGAAAATTATAACGCTATAATGCATGCATGTATTATCTTGACCTTTGCATAGTCATACTAGTATGACTACATGTATAAACAAGTATACTTAGCAGCATACATATCCCCGCGATCCGTGAATGAGTAGGACGTTGGTTGTGTATACCTGTGTGTTATTTGGGGAGTCCATTATATCCCTAGGGTATACAACCCATGATTTGGACCCGAAAAGTAAGAAGCTGTAACGATGGAAACGATGGGCTCTCTGGCTAGTGGTAGTAGACGATGCTACTCTCGCCGTCTAGGATCACTAAACATCACTCGACTTCTTCTCATAACACATCGGTAGGTTCGGAACATGTGACTTAATATGTTCTAAATACGGCGCCTGGGCCGTGCGTTTAATGTCGTTCAATTAAGGTGTTCCTACCCCTGCAGACCGCCTGATAATACCACCAAGACGCATTTATTTTTCTTTTGGGTTGGTTGCATTCCTATTGTAGGGTTAGGGGTGACCAGATAGAAACGTTGTGAACCCCTTGTACACTTGTTCCAATCACAGGGTGGAAGGGGCCCTTTTCGTGGTAATTGTGGTTCGGACCTTATCACTCAGTAAACGATGCATGGAGAAGACGATAAGATGAGGGTGTTAAGGCAACAGATGATGCGTCAACCAACCACGGAGCGATAAACAAAATAATTGATTTGCAAGAAAGATGGAAAGAAACCAAACCCAAAACCATGCATACATAACCCATGGTAAAGAATGATCCGAAAAAAGTACACAACACCGTAAAAGCAGCAAAGTAATAAG